TACAAGGCATTTTCCTCCTTCTAGTACCACCGTGTGTGCTCCAAGCCTCAAGTGCTGTGTACTACTACTACTGCTACTACGTGTGTGTGAGATACACTAATAAGTGTGTGAGTAGTACGTGTGTGTGCTCATCCGCCGGTCGTCTATCAGTGTACTCGAGTGCTAGCGAGTAGTTCTGGGCTAACATAGTCAGCCAAGTACAAAGATTGGGAACAGCAAGGCTGCATCGCAAAAGCCCAATGTGCCCAACTTTAGTGATGTTCAACCTGCTGATCACGTTACAGCTCTGTATCCAGAGAAAAGACCATCGCGTGGCCGCCCCAAATCAAAAAGAATGAAATCGGCAGTTGAGCGTGCGGTGGAAAAATCAAAGGATGCATGCTCTGTTTGCGAATCAGAAGATCATTTTACTGAAGATTGTGAGTGCTTGAAACTACCAGATCAGAATGATGGCTCCAGCTCTGAAGATAACTATGTACCCGAATCTTGCTTGGATGGTTCCGGGGATGAAGCACAGGACCGGTTTGTCGAGGATCCAGTGCCCGTGGAAACTTCAGAAGCTCGGACAACTCGCTTGATGGCATCTGCATCTACTACACCTCTTGCAGCTCGTTTTGCTACTGCAACCACTTCTTTTCAGCTCTATGGTTCAGTATAACGTTCCTGGCAATCTTGAGTTAAGTGTACGTGCCTGATGAGACAGTGGTCCTACCCCCAGCCGTAGTGGATGTGCCATCAAACAACACATGATTCAACGGGGAGGCAAACAAGGTTATCAATACATGATTCAACGGAGGGACAAACAGATTATCAAACAACACATGATTCGGCAGACAGGCATGGACGGCGAGGGTTGCGTCGTTGCTTCTCTGGCCTCGGGGAGGAGAGAGGGCTGAGATGGTACTGCTTGGAGTGGGCGACGTGATACCGGCACATCGCGGATCAAGAGCACCCACATACCGTGGAGCCCCGGCTGTCCAGACCGGATGAAGGACGGAGCTCGTGGACGCCCTGGAGGCTGCAGCTCGCCGTCGGCCTCGGCTCGGGGGACCAGAGGAGGGAAAAACACGAGCAGGTCGGGCGACGGCGTGGTGCTCCAGATCGAGGGAGTGGAGGGGACGTGTCAGGCACAACACCTGTGGTGTCAAGGAAGAAGAAGGGGATAACGGGAGTCCTCGTTGCTGGACTGACGAGGGGAGGAAAAAGGGATCGAGTAGAAAACATTACTACTATCTTCTATTCGTTACTACCTGGCCATACAAATCCTTTACTTATGTGTAAATTATGTGCAAATTTGAGCATGAATTATTTTTCATTCCTTTTCTTCTTAGAGGTTGATACCAATGCCTCTAATTCATTTTTTTAGAAAATGTTATTTTTTATTTTTGTGTTTTAAGTAAGTAGACATGCAAGTACTATACAACATGTGTGGAAATTATAGTAGAATGCGAAATTGCAATATTATATGTTCCTTTTTTGCATATTACTAAGAGTGCAATTTCAGTGCAAACTTGTGTGCAATTTTTTTCTCTTTTTTTTCTTAAAGAGGTTCGTTATTCCCTAGAAAATCATTGTTTTGATTTTGTTTTTTTTTTCATTTTCTTTCTTCTTGAAGGGTTTCATTCTCTCATAGGAAACTTCATTTTTTCGTTTTCTATTCCATTTTCTTTCTTTAAGTGCAATACCGATATCATTCCACTATTATATGTTTATTCTTGCATATTATAATAAATGCAATTTATGTATTAACTGTGTGCAGAATTTGTCCTTTTTAATTTTCTTCTTCTTAAAAGAGATTACTAATGTCACTAATTCATTATTTCTTAAACAACTTCTTTTTTATTTTTCCGTGTGTAAGTATAAATGCAAGCACTATACAATATGTGTGTAAATTATCCTCCGTTCCTAATTATAAGTCTTCTTAGAGATTCCAATATGAACTATATATACAGATGTATATAGACATATTTTAGAGTGTAGATCCACTCATTTTGCTTTGTTTAAACTCCATATTGAAATCTCTTAAAAGACTTATATTTAGAAATGGATGGAGTACTAGATTGTGAAAATTGCACTATTGTATGTTTATGCTTTGTGTATTACCAAAAGCGTGATTCAAATATAATGTTGTGTGCAAGTTTTTTTCACTTTCAATACCAGTGCTACTAATATATTCTTGCTTAGAAAAAATCATTATATTTATTTTGTTAATTTTTATATCATATATAATTTCTAAAACTTATAAAAACGTGTTGCATGCACTTATGGGTAATGCATGTACTCATCTCCATCCAGCTGAAAAGTACGAATGCATGCATGTTAGTGAGACCCATCATCATCCATGCATGACGAACAATTGCTTGAACGCATGCATGCATGTACCCCCAGCCAGGCCAAGCGTTAACGCCCAGGATGAATTTTGCGTATAAAGAAGAAGTGACTGACCCTAAAAAAAGAATCAGTCGACTGGCGCGTAGCCAGTCCCAATCCAGAATGCGACATGACAATTGTTCTACCGAACAAAGGATGGGCAGATATGTCTCCAGCCCCTAAAAAAAAGAGGTATGTCTCCAGCACGACGCAGTTTGATCCGTTTGATTTAGCCAGAGGCCTCGTGGGTGCATGATTGTTTTTTGAGCCCATCGTTCAACTGTGGGTGCATGATTGTTTTTTGAGCCCATCGTTGAACTGTGGGTGCATGATTGTGATATCACATTCCCTCAAAAAAAAAAAAGATTGTGATATCACATGTTTTCAGCCTAGCGTCAATTGAAACGTTCGTGTGTGGTGTCGCGCGGTGGTAGAGTCCATGTGAGATGGGTTGCAAACAACTCCACAAGCATTTCAGCACAACTCACAAATGTCAAGAAGCACTGAGAATATACCTAACGAACAGCGAAAGACATTAACCAAACTTGCTGTACCAGATTTTCATTCTTCCAGTCGCATGGCCATGAGTTGAGACGTATGCCATACATCAGGGATGGACCTAAAGAGAAAATGACCCGGTGTCCTAGCATATGATCACTCATATTTTTCATCTTAAAGATGGGGTTTTACACACTATTTTGCATGAAACTTTCAAAGAAAACATCTTATACCCGGTCCTGTGCACCCGGGTAGCTCAACTTGGATACACCGCTGTCATACATGACTCCCTTTATTGATGTTCATGCCTTCAAATTATGAATCTGAGTGGACACGGTTTGCCAAATCAACCTTTTTAAGAATTTGAATAACCCAAACAAAAGATAATATAGTCCATAATGAATGTACATAAATTTATTTCGAACAAATCAACAGAATTTTGTTTGAATTCGAATAATTTTAAATTGGAAAACTAGATTGAAAAATATAGGCCAGAATGAATGTACGTAAATTTTCCAGACAAGTCAACTAAAAATTTGCTTGAATTCTAATAATTTTAAGTTACAAAATCTAAAAAGCAAAATATAGTGCAGAATGAATGTCCGTAATTTCCTTTCAGACAAATCAGCGGAAAATATGTTATAATTTAAACAATTTAAATTTGAAAATGTTGAGAAAAGAAAATATAATTCTAAATGTGTACCTTTATATTTAGCCTAAAGGATCTACACATTGGTAATCCGTGTAAACAACAACGGTGGTGTGGTTAGTACTCTAGCGCTATTACAGCTAGTCGATGGTTCGAACTCCCTCAGACCTATTTTCTAGTCCAAATTACTCACAAGGCACACTGACGGGCAGGACCCAACGAGATACTATTTAACATTACCTGTGTTGGAGCGCTTTTGTACGAAGTTTAAAAAAAACTTGAGGGTGTTTCTACAAAAAATATCACATGCACAACGCTTCAACCACGGACAATGGGCCCTGGCCACGCTGGCATGCCACGTAAGCAGTGAATACATCCGTGTATGGGAAATGTGACCGTATTTGCACGTCCATGCAAGTTTGATGACCAGAAACACGTATTTTGCAAGTTTATGCACCAAACTGATCGTCGATGCAACAAGGGGGCAGCATGTAGATTAGATTGGGGAGTAGATTGATTGATCCTGACTTCCTGAGACAGTCGTATGCAGCATAGTATGGATTTTTGGAGGGGCCAAATGAGAATATTTGCTTCCATCTAAGTCTTCTGAAAAAATCCCTTCAATGATTTTGCATTGGGCTGGGGGGAGGGGGCCATGGCCCCCTTAGCTATACACATAGCTCCGCCCTGATGATCATCATACAGGCGTAAAACACTACAACGCAGGCTGGAAACACATGCTTGACGAGGCTTAGATCATCGGGTAGATCGATCAATCATTGGAGCAGTCATACACTGATCGATTCTATGCAGCGAGAGATACAAGAGATAAACTGGTACATGAGATGAGTAGATGCATCTACGCAAGGCTACATGCGGCGGCCGTTAGCATGCATAAGCTCAGGTCGAGTGCAACTGAATTTGGTTCTAGACTATGCAAGCAATGTGATAATCCGTCAAACCAGGGAAAAGTGAGAAAAACTGCATTTGCCAAACACCTTCATAGTTTTGCTAAAACTAAGAAAAAAATGTGGTTTCTAAAAACTGAAGTACACATTGCCCGCGCATTGGAATACTGAGGTTTTCGGTTACTGTAGTCTTGGGAAAACTGTGTTGCCAAACTAGGCCTTAAGCATATCTTAATGGAAGGAACTTGTTTTGCCACATGCATGATCAAAGCACAACATGTTAAATCAGTCAGAAAAAAATGCTCTGATTTATCTAACATATGTCGACCCACGTGTGCGAATTGCATTTTTTCAAAAAAGAAGAGAAATAGCCCACTTGTTGAAATGAGAAGAAGAATCGAGATCATTGAGAACCAGATAAACAGATGGAAGAAACTAGAAGAGAAACAGACAGCACTTTTGGGTCTCTTTTTTTGAAGGGGCACCTTTTCTTTTCTTTTCTTTTAAATATTAGGAGACATACACTTAACGCGTGCTACTGCAGTTGGGTGCTGGTCATGGTCAGTGAGTGAAAGATGGCTAGCTCTCAACCCAGCTCCCTCACAACCCAGCTCCCTCGCTCCCTCACTCTCACTCAACTCTCTTCCAATCGATCCATCCACCGGTGCAGCTCGCCCAAAGCACCGGCGATGGAGACGGCAATGGAGGCCGGCGATGACCCTGCGTTCGTCGCGGAGGGCACCGTCACCAGCATCAGGCTCGCCGTCGCCTCAAACCAGGAGATCGTACGTAATTGCCAAGCATTTCTTCTCCTCTTTCACTCCAACCAATCATGTCCTCTTCGTCGTCTCCTCCCCCTCCTTCTTCATAGCAGAACAGCAGGTGATTAACTAACCACATTGATGGTCGCATGCATTGCAGGTGAAGGCGCAGCCGATGAAGGAGGAGTTCCCGGTGACACACCCAAGCCAGCTGGCCGGGAACCCGGCGCTGGGCCTGCCGCTGCAGCTCGGCCACTGCGACTCCTGCGGCGCCACCGACCTCGCCAAGTGTGAAGGTGACTCACTGGCTCCTCTCTGTTTTATACCTGCTACAAAATCAACCCGGCCAGTAGCTTCCTTGGTTAGCCCATCAATTAATCCATGCACGGAGAGAAAGAATAGAAGCATCAGTAAACGTCTGCAAACGTGCGGCTAAAATTTTCTGACAGTTTAGCATGTGTCAAGTTAGAAACCAAATCCAAGTTTGACAAAACTAAACTAGCTGTTTACAGGAGCATAGGTAATTAAGTTGGGTGTGATAGTGTAAGCTGCAGCTGTTTGACACTTCTGCATTGCCTGAGACTTTCAAGTCAAAACAAGATCTGTTTATTTAGAGGTTTTTGTGAACAAAATAAACAGAAATCTGGGTCATGACGCACCTGATTTTCTAGGTTTCTACCAACAGTGGTGTGCCCCTTTAATTTAGCGATGAATAGTGCCACTTCACGTCTACAAACATGCAGATAAAACTTCTTAGTGGGCTAGCTAGCTGCCTAGTTCAGTGTGTGATAATCCTGCACAGGTAGTTTGGAACCGAACTTGAGATTATTTTTCAGGTTCCTGAAACTAGATAAAACCAAACTGAACGATATTCAACTAAAGTTCAGTTTATTCGAGCACAAATACTTACCTACAGTAGGCAAGATCACTCTGTTGAAACACAAATAGTTTGATATGATAACAGCTGATCTGACTACTCACTTGAGTATTATACATTGTCAGAGTATTCTTGCTAAAATCAGTTCTGCGTCAGCATTTGTCTCAACTGATAGGATAGGTATCTCCTGTTCCTAAGCTTTCGGCAATACTCAAAAAACTCGGCTGAAATAACAGCATCTCATTCCACCTGCAAAATATTCAGCAAGACAGTTTACTGGAAGATAGAAAATTTAGTTGCCTCGGTTAGATCACTTTCTAGGAACATAATAAACTGTTGGATATGATAATGGTCACACCTGGCCGTTCAGTTTACTGTTGTACACTGTCAAAGACATTGTTGATAAAAGTCAATGCCGCAGCATTTATCTCGACTGATTTATAGTGTGTTCCTGAACTGAGCTGACAAAGAGATTGTTGTAATGACATTGATTCTGCCCACCTGGAAATTTTGCATGCACATCCATGTTAGGTTCTGCAATCTTTGATCTAAGATTCTGAATCAGCCCATATATGTGCATACTGCACCTTCATTTATTATTTTCTGACAAAACTCGTCTTCTCATGGCTGGCTGAAGGTCATTTCGGGTTCATCAAGCTGCCCGTGTCCGTCTACCACCCAAGCCATATCACCGAGCTGACGAAGATACTCAACATGATCTGCTTCAGCTGCCTCCAGTTCAAGAACTGCAAGGTACATGCAGAAATTAAACCCTGCCCAAGCATACTATGATCAGTGATGTAGTGGCTAGCATTAACATGGAATTTCTGTACTTTGCAACAGAAACAGAAAAGTGTGGAAAAGGAGAGCAACTTCACCTCATGTTCATACTGTCAGGTAATTAAGTGATAACTGATGAAGGAGATCAAACTGTTCAAGTCTCCTTTAAGTTGCATTAGTAGGGTCAGGTTGGTATGCATAATATGCACATTCATATGTAGCTCACTCTAATTCTCCGAGAAAATCTCAAGGTAGCCGAATCTACTGCTAGATAGATCGTAACTGAATCGTCGATGATGAAAAAAAAATTCCAAAAAGTTGCTGCTGCAGAGATAGCGTTAAGCAGCTAAATACAAAACAAGTGCAGGTAGTTCAGCTTAAACACTAGAGCAGTCAGAGAAGACGATGAGCTGAAATTTGGAAGTGACACTAGCATAACAGGTGCTGAAATTTGAAATTTGGATCTTCCCAGAAAGATGTATGATCCAATTCAAAAGCAACAGGTGCAGAGTTTAAAATGCATGCAGCAACTAAAATATCAATTATCTCCAAAGGAAGCAAATGCCATGCTTTATTTAACACACATTGTGCAGTAGCCTAGACGTCTGTTATGGCTAAATTCCACCACATTACCCAACCCTCAAACAGTACAAATCTCCACTCAAATTTCAAATTTAAATTAAGACTATTAGTTAAGTTATTGGTGGCTAGTGTTAGTTTCTGGTTTTAGTTTCTGAGGAGCATGCCATATGTACAGTACAAGCACCAATTAATTATGTCTTGCCATGGTTCAAATTTTTTATTTGGAGTATTTTTTCCCTTAATCCCTCTAACTAACCAGCCACTATTATTTCCTTTGTCGAATTCTGCATTCATCTTCTTCCAGGATCTCCCACCAATCCATGTTGCAAAAGTCAAGAAATCCAATGGAGCCCTTACCTTGGAGCTGAGAGTGCCATCCAGGAAAGAACTGGAAGAGGGATTTTGGAGCTTCCTCGATCAATTTGGCTTTCACACGAAGGGCAGCTCTCACTGCCGTCGTTTATTCGCAGAAGAGGTACTAGTACTAGACAGAGACTTGTTGCTCTTGTGGCAAAAGCCACCCTGCAAGGGAGGAGGATGTAGAACAAAAGTCTCAGAACTTAGTTGCTCTGCTTTGCATTAGAAATGGTTATGACAAGAGAAATTAATGAATACTTCAAGAACTAATAGGTGCTAGAGATACTCACATTTTGTTCTTCTGTTTCTTAGGTTCGGAAAATAATGGAGAAGATCTCTGAAAAAACAAGAAGGCAGATTGCTGCTAAGGGATATATTCTTCAGGATGGATTTGTGATGAGCAATCTCCCTGTTCCACCAAACTGCCTCCGCGCTTACAATGTTTTAGATGAAACAATCATGTGCTCTCCGGTAAGTACCTTTTGAGACTCATCACTCATATACTTTTGGTTGCATCAGAATTTCCTTCGTTTCACCGTCACTCCTGACTTTTTTCTCCATTCTTTAGGATGCCTCCACAAACCTGCTGAGGAAAATCGTACTCAACGTACATAGAATCAACAACTCAAGGGTTGGCCCCCCAACCTTCAAAGAACATGAGGTGGAAGCAGATGATCTTCAGCTTGCCATTGCTGACTACATCAAGCATGCAGGAACAGCAAGGGTATGTAGATAATATGCAAATGAAATGCATCCTATCTACTTGATCAAAACTGTGTGTTCATATCTGGTGTCATGTATCTTTCATAGGGTCCTCAAGATATCACCTTTAAAAGTCTGCCTGCAACAAAACAATGGCAGCAAAAGATGAAGGCACTCTGCATCAGCAAGAGCTCAAGCTTCTCATGCCGTGGTGTGATCACGGGTGACCCATACATTCCTATGAATGTGGTAGGAGTTCCTGATGAAGTAGCAAGACGAATGTCGGTAGAAGAGCGTGTGACAGACTACAACATTGCTCAGCTGCAAGGCATGATGGATAGAGGTCTTTGCCTGACACATGAAGATGCTAATTCTATCACGCACTCCTTGGATGTGGGGAAAGCAAATAAGAAACGGACCATACTAAAGGTTGGTGAAACGGTCAACCGGAGAATTCTGGATGGAGATGCGGTATTTGTCAACAGGCCACCAAGCACCGACAAGCACTCAGTCCAAGCAATGTATGTCCGTGTACATACTGACCACACCATCAAGATCAACCCACTCATATGTGGCCCACTTGGAGCAGATTTTGATGGCGACTGTGTCCACATTTTCTTCCCAAGGTCAGTGTCAGCAAGGGCTGAAGCTATAGAGCTCTTCACGGTGGAGAAGCAGCTGGTCAGCTCTCACAATGCAAAGCTGAATTTTCAGCTCAAGAATGATTGCTTACTAGCTTTAAAGAAAATGTCTGCTAGAAAGTATTCCAGAATGGAGGCCAATGAACTTATAAATGCAATGTTCACGGCAGGGTTGATTCCCATGAAGCGACTATCAGGTGGACCAGAGTGGAGTTTCGCTCAGATTCTAGAGACAGTACTACCACAGGAAAATAAAATATTAATCAGAGACTTGGTTGCTGGCACTATTACCATCTCATCAGTTCTGTCCATGAAGAATCCAAGGGAGGCCATAGAATTTCTGAATCTTCTGCAGCCCCTACTAATGGAATCATTATTTACTGATGGTTTCAGCGTAAGCCTGAGAGACTTCAATGTCCAGAATCCAATACCACAGACAATACAGCATCAGACACTTGATCTTGACAAGTTACGGAAACCAATTGTGGACTTCATTACTTCTTCTGACATTCGCTTCTTGGTTGACCAAAAGAGAGATTCAGCCATGACCAAAGTAGTGGAGCAGATTGGTTTCTTGGGACATCAGCTGCAGCGCAACGGAAGATTATATTCTGGCAGCTTGGTAGAGGATTGCGTATCCAAGTCGCTAAGCAAGTGCGGCAGCAGCACCAATGGTTGCCATCCTTTGGAGGCACATGGTTTTGTCAGGAACTCATTTTGCAATGGACTGAACCCATATGAGGACCTACTCCATTCAATATCTGCAAGGGAGAAGACAATACGCGCATCTAAAGGACTTGTGGAGCCGGGCGTTCTCTTCAAGAACATGATGGCAATGCTCCGAGATGTTGTAGCATGCTATGATGGAACCATAAGAAACTCGTGCGGAAATTCAGTTGTCAAGTTTGACTCGACAGACTCATCCAGTTCTGTGACACCAGGAGATCCCGTTGGTATCTTGGCAGCCACTGCAGTTACGAATGCTGCATACAAGGCAGTGTTAGACCCAAATCAGAATAACATGGCCTCATGGGACTCAATGAAGGTGAGAGGCTCATTTGGTCAGTTACATCTACGACTTCGGTCCATATGTTCTGACTTCTGATTGTTGCATTTACAGGAAGTACTACTTACAAGAGCTGGCTCTAGGAATGAAAATGACCAAAAAATAATTTTGTATCTGAACAAATGCTCCTGCGGCAATAATTTTTGCATGGAAAGAGCATCGCTCGCAGTTCAAGCCTGCTTAAAGAGGACCAAAGTAGAAGACTGTGCTACTGAGTTCTCAATCCAGTATGTACCGTTCATACTTCCATAATTATTTATCATACTACAATGTTCCTTCTGCCCCAAGTTACATACTATTTTCCCAAACTATGCACTTTAGTATTAGTTTCACATGAGTGAATCATAAACATGAACAAGACTAGCAATTTTTTGTTTCTTGACATCGTATTGAACTTGGAATCTTAGATCAGTCCAGTTCAGCTTTACACTGTGTTATAAAGTTATAAGCCAAAATCAAATCACAAGTAACTACTTCTTACATTTCAGTGTATACTGTGCTAGGCTCACAATCATTGTCTTGTTTCAGTTATCAACAACAAAATATTCAAGCAACACATTGTCTTGTTGGCCACATTCACCTTGACAAGGTATTTTTCCTTTTCTCCTACTTTTCAAATAGTATAATTGTTTTTCAGCATTATCATCAAGACTATATGTTGAAGAAATCATTTTGTGCCCTTACAGAAGCAACTGGATGAAATGAACATAAGTATGCAAGGTATTCTTCAGAAATGCCAGGAAGAAATATATAGATGCGGAAAGAAGAAGGGGCAGGTGAATCAACTTATGAAGAGAGTTGTGATCTCAAGGTGCTACAATCTTTTATTGTTTTAACCTTGAAATAGTACAGGAGGCTTTATTTTCATATTCTTCTGAAAGAATATTCCAATGGTTGGATTTAATTTGCAGATCCGCTAAGATTTGAGTTGTTTATTTGGTAACTTAAGTTGAATAATGTCCTTCATTAGGATTTTGGCATGCTACATTGAGAAAATCAAGCATGAGCTTTAAATGGTCTATTCTCTAATTTCTGAACATAATCTGACATTTCTTCTTTGCAGCGAATATATGTGCTACCAGGATGCAGATGACGAAGAACAGGTCTCCTGTTTGCAGTTTTTCCTGACAAAAAGTGTCACCACACAATCTGAATCTTCTGCGCGAGTTGTCCAGTTGATGGCCAATACCATTTCTCCTATACTCCTGGACACAATCATAAAAGGTAAACCAAAAGTTCAGTCATACTAGGTATCATGCATATAGAAAATCCAGATGAATATGTTGATAGTGCTTATGCAATTCTGCTTACTAAACAGAGGTTCTCTTGCATTTTTCTCCCAGGTGATCCACGAGTTCAGGAGGTGAACATAATATGGGTTGAACCACAAGACACGTGTTGGGTCCAGAACTCCGGTACAGAGCAGAAGGGCGAACTGGCGCTGGTAATCACAATGGATAAAGACTCAACTGGGGAGAGTGGTGATGTCTGGGGAACAGCAATGGATGCATGCATCCCTGTGATGGATCTGATCGACACTACCAGGTCTGTGCCCTACAGCATCCAAGGAGTTCGGGAAGGGTTTGGAATTTCCTCTGCCTTTGGTCGAGTCACACAGGTCCAGCTAGTTCTTGCCTTTTTACCTTTATGATGAATTTAGTAGCTTCTATTAAAGCATTACTCATGTTCTACTTTCTTCTATTTATGCTTTCGACCATCCTTCCAGCACCTTTCCAAGGCAGTTGGAATGGTTACAAAATCAGTTCTTGAAGAACACCTGACTACTGTTGCAAGCAGCATGACCTGCACAGGTAACTTGCATGGCTTCAACAGCTATGGTTACAAGGCCACATTCAAGGCCCTCAAGATACAGGCACCCTTCATGAAGGCTACACTCGCTGTAAGTTCTCCATTTCATTTTGTTTTGAACCCCCCATTTTGATGAGCAAGCGTTGGCATTGATTAAAACACCGAGAAAAACATGTTTCAGAGGCCATTGCAATGCTTCGAGGAGGGTGCAGAGAAGGTCTATTCTGATCAGTTGGATAGTGTTGTGTCTACCTGCTCTTGGGGCAATCCTGCACCAATTGGGACCGGTTCAGCCTTCAAAATCCACTGGAATGATGAGAACATGGTACAACGAACATTTCACCTGCCTATTTTCTCACATGTGTGCATCACGCAATTATTTTCTCCCTTCTCTGAACCTCTTGGTCTTTTACAGTTAGCAGGCAATGAGAACCTTGGAGGGTATGGTTTATATGAATTCCTCACAGACGTAGAAACAACAAGAGCCACTGAAGATAATATAATTGTTCCATACGGTTCCTGCTTGTATGATGTTGACAACCTTGAAGAAGATGAAATCGAAGAGGATGGAGTCTTATGTTTGGGAGGAAACAGTCCAATCTCTTGGACAGACAGGCCAAAAGCAAATCTCCTGTTGCATGATCTTCAAGGTTGGAGGGCTGAACAAGGGCACCAAAAGGTGCCAGCTGCAAATTGGCAACATGGTAAACATGTCGCCACAGAGTCAAGTGCCACTGGTGGATGGAACCAGAGCAGTTCTACCACGAAAGTTTATCAGAGAAGGCAACGTAATAGTAATTGGAGCTCAGATGTAATGCAACAAGATGGTAACCCAAGTTGGAACAAAGCATATGTGGCAGGCCCGAGCAACACTGCCATTACAGGGCCAACAAGTGGCACTAGTGGATGGAATCAGAGCAGATCTACCACGAAAGTGTATCAGAGAAGGCAGCGAGATGGTAATTGGACCTCAGATGCAACACAAGAAGATGGTAACCCAAGTTGGAAGAAAGCAAATGTGGCAAGCCAGGGCAACTTTGCCATTACAGGTCCATCTAGCTCTGGTGGATGGAGTAGAAAGACCAATAATGTTGGTAGAGGTCGAGGTGGTGGTAGAGGTGCAGTGTGGAAATCAGAGGGATCACACCGTGGAGGTAACAGTAGGTGGAAAGCCCAAAGAGTCAATACCACAAGCGCCCCGAACTTCCACATTTCAGGACCATCCAACTATGGTGGACGGAACATCAAGACCGGCAATCTTGGCCCAAGCCGTGGCAGAGGACCAGCATGGAGATCAAAGGGACCAAACCAGGGAGGTAGCAATAGTGGACAACAAGGGAGTTCAAACTTTACACTAGCGGAACAGCAGATCCATGCACAAGTTGATCCAATCATGAAAGAAGTAAAGAGGATCATCCGTGAATCAAGGTATAATATCTAGCCCATTGCAACTCTAAAAAGACACAAAGTAATGAAAAGTAGCTACACTTCTTCAAGTAAATGATGATATGACTGTTTGATTTAAGTTTGAACATCACAAAGTCCAAGTAACTGCAATGATTGAAAAGTGCACCTTCTCTTGTAGACCACAAGTGGCTTCTTCTCTATGTTCGTAATCCTTACTCGCAGTCCATCTATTCCCATACTTTGCAGGGATGGCATCAAGCTTTCTGGAGATGATGAGAAGTTCATTGTTGAAAATATTCTCATGTACCACCCAGAGAAGGAAAAGAAGATGGCAGGGAATAACAATTACATAATGGTAAGCAGCATACCTTTCAGTCTTCCGATGCATCACAAGAACCAAAACCCAAAATTGAAACTTGATGAAATTTCTTCCCCTGCTTGCAGGTTGCTAAGCATCAAAAGTTCCATAGCTCCAGGTGCTTGTACGTCGCATCCTCAGATGGCCCTCCTACAGATTTCTCCTACAAGAAGTGCCTAGAGAACATGATCAGGATTCACTACCCACATGAAGCAAGTTCATTCTGCAGAAAGTACTTCCAGTGATGAACTATAACGTGTCCATTCGCATCGAACTGTATGCGCTTGCAGTAGTGCAATGTCTAACCCACTGAAATGACCTCATCTGGCATACACGATTTATGTGGACTCTGATGTCCATAAACTTGTATAATTCGGTGTGCTTGAAATTATTCTACGACTGTGATGCTATTTCTGAACATTAGGAAACAAAACCTGGCATACATGAATTTCTGTGGTCTTAGTGTCCACAAACTTATATATGTTATGCTTGAGAACATTTTATAACTGTGATATTTTTTCTGAGCAGTAGCACTCAAAAACACCATGAATGCTTTGAGTTAGTGGCGAACACCAAAAGTTAAGGTTTGTGAGCTTTCATTGTAATCACACACACGCTTCACATACACGTAACAGAGAGAGAGAGAGAGAGAGAGAGAGAGATGGAATGTTACTGAAAACACCGACCTGAAAATGTATGCCGCAAATAAGTAACCACTAATCAAAACAAATGAGAGATTCACAACTGTTTCATATTATTACTTGTTGTATCCTTCAAACAACTCTATAACTGAATTTAAATGACACTAAAGCAAATACATCTGGCTGGTACATCATCTGCATAATATCATAGCTAGGTAGCTACAAGAAAAGTGCACACTACCCAGAACAAGCGATTACCTTCCTGAAAGAAGGAAAGGAATCATACACACTCAGGCAGCGGCAACTCCGGTCTTGGTCTCGGCAGCGGCCTTCCTCTCGCACGATTCAAGGTATGACTTGAGGATCATGAGCCTGGCCGTCTCGAAGGCGCAGTAGCCAATCGCAGCGAAGCAGGCGCTGTGCAGGACCCTCGGTCCGATCCCCCGGGACAGACCCATCAGGCCTTCCTCGGCGATGACCTCCTGCATGGTGCCCACCACCGTGCGGCTCCCCTGGGCGGCGCCCACCCTGGTCATCAGCCGGGTCTTGACGACGTCGAGCGGGGTGGTGAGCCCCGCGGATATCGCGCCGGCGAGCGCGCCGCACAGCACGCTCTCCCCCGGCGTCAGGTTGGCGGCGTTGCTCTTGCTGAGGGCGAAGGCCTTGAGGTACTCGAAGGAGGAGTAGCTGAGCACGCCGGCGGGGAGGTTCCGGAGCAGGGTGGCTGCGTACCCCGCGTAGAGGCCGAAGAAGCCGTCGGCCTGGAGGATCTGGAGCAGCACCTGCCAGGAGCGGCCCGTGGCGGCGCCCGACTGGAGGCGCTGCGTGATGAGCTCCTTGGGCACCATGATGGCCGAGGAGGAGATGTTGCCGCTGGCGCCGGCGAGCGGGGGCACGAGGAACGGGGGGAGGTGCGGGCGCAGCAGCGACTTGGCGAGCTCGCAGGTGCCGAAGTAGATGGCGGAGGAGGTGGCGGAGCCGAGGATGACGGCGGAGAGGCCCCGGTAGAGGCCGAGGGGGCCGTCGGCGCGGAGGATGTCGGCGAACACCTGCCAGGAGCCGCGCGAGGCGGCCCCCGCCTGGAGCCGCGTCTTGACGGCGTCGAGCGGCAGCAGCGCCGCGTAGGTGAAGGCCCCCGCCGCCGCCCCCGCGCACGCCCCGATGGCCGCCCGCTCCAGCGGCGTCGGCGCCTGCGGCTGGGACTGCGCCTGCGCCTGCGCCGGGGCGGCGGGGGCGGGGATGGAGAGCGTGGAGGAGGAGAAGACCGGGGCGCGGCCGTGGGGGGTGGCGGCGGCGGCGGGGGAGTGGTGGAGGAGGAGCGAGGTGAGGTCGGAGAAGAGCGAGGGGAAGTCCTGCGAGCGGCCGCCGGCGCCCGGGAGCGAGAGGGAGAGCGGCTCCCTCGGGCGGCTCGACGGCGGCATCTCGCCGGCGCCGCCGCGGGGGGTTCGGTGGAGGCGGGCGGGGGGATCCGGAGCGGAGGTGGAGTGAGATTCGGGAGGATAATGCTGCGCGTGCGTGGTATCTTCTGATTATTAACCAAGATGCCTTTTATTTAGGGTCCCGATAACTGCCACACGTGTGGTGTATCGGGTAGTTGTGCCACACGCCTCGTGTGGCATGGACAGCAACTAGCCCACACACCTACGTATGGGCAAAACAACTAATGCCCACACACATCTTTTTTTTTCCTCCTGAACCTTCTCACATGCGTGCGTGTGGGCGAAGTTGATAACGCCCACACGCCCGTATGTCAGGCCTTGTACCTTTCTGGTCCCGCACGCGACGCGTGACGCCCACCGCGCGCCCGCAGTTGCCATGGTCCAGACCCTCGTCCATGTTCGTTTATCAGCAGTTGCCATGTCGCTGAACTACGGTTGCCATGTCGGACAACTGCAGTTGCCATGGTTGCTCAACTGCAGTTGCCATGTATGGTCTGATCTAATGTAGTTGCCATGATTTCATAACTTTAGAAGTTGCCACATACTAACACTAGGCAGTTGAGAGAGTTGCCATGTGCTCACAAGCATGCTAGGGCAGTTGCCATGTAAAAAGAAAGAGTTGCCATCTGCTTACGTGCACGTTAGGGCAGTTGCCATGTACGTACACGTTGGGGCAGTTGTCATGTACCATGCAAAAACACATGGCAACTCGATAAAAGACAGTTGCCATCTGCTTACGTGCACACTAGGCAGTTGCCGTGTACCCTGCAACAACACATGGCAATTCGGGTAAAAAAAAGAGTTGCCACCTGCTTATAAAGCACACTAGAGGCAGTTGCCATGTGCGCTGCAAAAACACATGGCAACTAGCAGCTTACGTGTGGGAGAGGAGACGGGCGTGTGGGCGAGATGGCAAATGCCCACACACCAGCCTTTGTGCGTGACTGAAAACTGGTGTGTGGGTGAACTGTTAAACGCCCACACACCGGCCCCCCGTGTGGTAAAACGGATGTGTGGGCGAACTATGTCACACACCACACACACGCCTTGTCCTACGTGGCACAGAAAATCAGCCAAATTGTGTCAAGATTCGTGCATATATTACTGGACGGTGATGGATGTGTGTGGTCGAGATGGTCAACGCCCACACGTGTGGGCGTTAACATTTCCGTTTATTTATTTCAAAAACTTGCAGTTCGAATTTAAACCCTTTGATTTGAAAAACGATGTGCTTGCATCCGAATTAAAATTGTCCGTTTGAAAATTCGGCAGCACCCTTCCACATTATTGTTTGTTTGTGAACGCGGTCGTCAAAGGTTGAAAATGACGGAAATCAGACAACTATCTACGACAATTACATATAACCGTTCGAAACGCCAAATTTTACTTGCGACAGTGATGCCATGATATCAACTCTTAAATAATAATCGGCGGATAATTATGAACCTTCTTTTACTGATCTATCGCCGTAAAAATTTGAAAACATTTCTTTGTATAAGCAAATAAAAAAGTGTTAACGAAAGATGCCAAATAAAAGAAAAGAAATATAAGGCATTGATCGCTGAAATTTTGCTTTTATTTCAAAATCTTGCATTTCGAATTAACCCTCCGTTTGAAAATCGTGTACTTGCATTCAAATTCAAATCATTCGTTTGAATATCTTGCAGTACCCTTTCACATTTTTGTTTGTTTGTGAACACGGGTAGGACCACAGTGTCAAAAGTTGAAAATGACAGAAATCAGACAAATATCCATGACAATTGCATTTAGCAACTCAGAACACAAAAATTATTTGCAACAGCGATACCACGACATCAACCCCTAAATAATAACCGAGAGCCCAACAAATAACTACGAACTTTACATCATCCATCGCGGCGACATAAAATTTAAAATCAAATCTTGGTATAAGCAAAAATAATAATAATAATAATAATAATAATAATAATAATAATAATAATAATAATAATAATAATAATAGGAATGTTAACTAAAGATCCCCAAAAAATGATAGAAGGCATTATTAGCTAAAATGTCGACTTTTCTACTTATCTTCGTAAACGTTTTGTCCCCGATTAAATTCACGCATGATGCCACTTTACCTGATACTAACCCTTTCCACATGATTCATGGCCAGAATTTTGGTAGATGCCAGAGAAATGGTGGTATCAGAATTGTTGCACCACAACATGCATCAACATGATATCACAACTGTATCAGACAATATTGCACCACAACATCATCATCAAAAAAAATAATGAGAACAGAGGGAAAGAAGCCCCCTGTCTTATTCTTATAGGAGAATGAGGAGACTCGAACCCAGGCCGGCGACAGCAACCTTTGTGCTGTCCGCCACTCCACCTAGGAGAGCTCCTCACCACAACATCATCATCATCATAATAATAATCATCATCATCATGTATATTAGCTCTGCTCGACGCCACGTCAGCACGTACAAACAGTTGCAAATGGAGAAACTTCTGCAGATGATGACTGAAGAATTTCTGCGGATTTTACAACATGAATTAGCTACAGAATTGGGGAAAGAGGAGTGGTTCCTGGCTCTGATGAACACATCCTCTTTCCCACACTAATAATTGTCACCTCTATATTTACATTACATCAGGGCAGCGCTACAAAGCCCCTGCATGCCTCTGCCTGCTTGCCTGCTTGCCTCAACGGATGAACTGATCGCGAAACAAGAAAACGATTCATCGGAGTTACAGGAGCAAAACTGAGGCCTTCCCGGAAGCTCATGCGATATCCGATGATTGCCGGGGCAGAGCAGGTCGGTCCTCAAGTCACCGAGCTGACCGGGTTGACGCGGCCGACGACACCCGCTCGGAGCTCCTCACGCCGTACCGCTCGTAGACCTTGTCGTGGTTCTCGTTCCACCAGCTCTCCGCTTGATGCTCGCCGAACCGTCTTCGGCTGGATAGGAATTCAAAAAAAAAAGGAGGTGAGGAGCAGGCAAAATTAGAGGACCTGAATATGTCATGGTTCTCAATGAGATCCTGCCACGAGCTTTGTGCCTTTAGCAGAGTAGGTTGGCAGCAACTGCAGTGCTGATTAACCGACCGAGTTAGTTGTGTGACAAAAACACTGGACACGTGTGGTGATTAGACAACTGAATCAGGAACGAACAAACAGCCTTCTATTCTCAGA